AAAAAAAACAGATCAAAGATGATCTATACTTATCTATCCGGATCTGGCGATGCACATCCGATTTTGAATCGGCAATCGGATCAACACATGAACTTTTAATCATGTGATTTTGCCACATTTTGATTGGCCCAAAAGGCCAGAGATACATAAGCTATATATCTCTGGCCAGAGATATATAGAAAAGTCCTTTTATAATATAATTAATTTATTAATATTGTATTTTAAATATATTATAAAAATATTATAATAATATTTATTTAATTATAATTTTTAGTATTATTAAATTATAATTAATATGCTAAAATTGTATATTGTAAAAATGGTTTAATTTTATTTATTTAATTATAATTTTTAGTAATATTACAATATATTTTATATATTAAAATTGTATCATAAATTTATTATAAAACTATATTAATTATATTTATTTAATTATAATTTTTAGTATTATTACAATGTAATATAATATATTAAAATTATATTGTAAATATATTTTAGTTTTATTTAATTAATTATAATTTTTAACATTTTTACAATATAGTTTAATATATTAAAATTGTATTATTACAATATAATAACAATATAAAAATTATATAGTTTTTATAAGTTTAATAATTTATATTATTATAATATTATTACAGTATAGTATTTGTATTGTAAAAAAAATCTAGATTTCAACAAAGTAATTTTATTATTTGATTGGACTTTTGACAAAGCTACATATAATTGGCCATGGGTAAAGACAGGTTTGGGCAAATATAAACCTATATTAAGAATTGTTTAATCTTGAGCTTTGTTAATAGTCATAGCAAATGATAATTTAATAGGAAATTGCTTTTATACTAATTGAAATAGAAGATCAGTATCTGATGGTGTTAATCTTACTTGAGATATAAAAACTCTTTTTCCTTTGTTAACACCTATTAAGATTTTGATATCTATAATATATCTATAAAAGGCTTTAACTATTAATCTTGTACCATTATATAATCTTTCAGATACATTAAGATTATGTAAAAGAATAATAGGTACATCTTTTTTAAGAGCCAAGTAATAAAATGGCATTCCACTTGGTGTTAAGGTATTTAAAAACTCTATTGGATAAAGACTTGCATCAACTTGATTTTGATCCTCAACAGAGTCAGCAGAATAATATTCATATATTTTTTTATTAGGAAGTTGGTGAAGTATATGATTATTAATATATTTGACATCAATATTTTTTGTTATAAGAATTGCCCTATCTTGAATATAGTCAGGATCATGATATTGTATATTAATATTATTAAAGATCTCTAATATTAAATCATCAAGATTTTCACTATCCAAGACTATATTATCAGACAATTTTATAATATCTTCACCAATATCAGGATACACAGGTATATTTCCTTCACTAACATCTATAAGAATCTAACAAATTTTTTTTGTTCATTATCACTATCTTGATTTTGAACTCTTATATTAATTGTTAATTCCATGTCATGAATTTCTTTTTAAAGTTTAGAAGTTTTCAAGCATGCATCAACAACTTGACCTCATGTACCTCAAATAACAGATAAAATTTGTCTAAAATCACAACCAAAAATCATAATCTTTTCCCAAAAAGTTTATCTTTAACTCCTGTTAAAAATTTAAAACTTCTGTCGACCACTTCAAATGCATGTCTATGCATCATTGGTGCTTTATCCCACAAAATAGCTTTGGCATCTCTGGTTAATTGAGCTAAATCAGATTGTTTTTCAATATTTAAAGTTGATTTTTCATCTAGATTCAATGAAATTTTAAATCTTGAATGAGCAGTTCTTCCACCACTCATTAATAATGCAGCAATTTCTGAAGATGCTACAGCAATTGCAATTCCATTTAAACCTTCTTCTTTTGATCTTATATAAGCCAAGATCAAATTATATAAGAAAGTTTTTCTAGTTCCTCCAGGCCCATCAATAAAAAATAAATATTCATCAATTTGACCATTAAGTGGCAATAATAACATCAAATATTACTTTTTGATCAGGATTCAATCTAGCTTTATTTTTCAAAGTTTCATTAAGCTTATTTTGATCAAAATTTAGTTCCTTAGCAATTATGGTATTTTGATAATTTTCATCCTCTAATAAAGTATAACTTGGAGCTGGAAGTCCTATAATATCACTAAGAGCCAATCTATTTTGAATTAAATATTTTTCAATAATAATCAATAGTTTTGTAATATTTAATTCTCTATTATTATTTTCTAATTGAAAATCTTCAATTAAATGATCAACATATTTATCCTAAAGCTCTTTTACATTAACTAGTCGACAGTAAACTAATATGAAAGCAAATAAATGTCGTAGTTGTGCTGGTATTTTAAAATTAATTGCTTCATCAAGACAATTAAAACATTCACAATCATTATCAACCAACCTAACATAAAATACTGCTTCAAAATAAGAACTATATTCTATAGTATCTATAGTTCTTAAATCTTGAAATGATTTAACACCACAATGTATATTTAATAAAGCTCTTAAATAAAATCTCTCTGTATCTCTTGGATTAACAAAATATATTTGAGAGATAACTTTTGCACCACCTTTTTTTCTTCTTTGCCAATTATTGTTACCTCTATTCCAAGTATAGTGTTTTGGAACATCACAGTATTTTAACTGTTTAATAAATTCATCAACAGGATTATTAGTACAAAGTTCAAAATATCTTGTTAACTTTGTATACTCTCCTTTTTTAAGTAATGATGCTATTAATTCAGAAGGGTCAAAAGTAACAGGCTGTTTTTTAGGTAAATGTGCAGGAAGTCTTTTAACCATATGAGATCTTTTGCATAAACCAAAATTAAATAATCTCCAAATTCCTTCAGCTGCAGAAATATATCTTGTAGAAACATATTTTTTAATTTCATTTTCTGGATTTACTAAAGAAAATAAAACTCTATCCTGCCTCTTATATACATATTTATAAAAATATTTGACTGATTTGACACTTGAACATATCTCTACATTAAGGTGGCAGTTATATTTATGACTTAAGTATGGATTATAAAGAACAATCCAACTATTATCAATAGGTGTTTTTATTCCATGTTTTTTAAGTTTTCTATTATTTTTTCTTCTTCTATATATAGAATATCCAGATTATTTGTTGATGTTTCTTTAGTAAAATCTCTTGGATGATATTTACTATATTTTCCATCAATCATACATTGAGATTTTTTATTAATGTTTCCACAGGGTCCATGAACTATATTTTTGCTAATTATATTATATAATCTTGGTTGTTTTTTAGGATCTGGTATCTCAGCAGATACAATTTGATCATAATCTTTAGGAGTTTGTGGTTTATCTTCAGATGCTAATATAAGCAGTATATGAGCATGTAACAACCCTTTTTTTTGAAACTTAATTACAAATATATATGCAATAACTTTTCCCAATACACCTTTTATAACTAAATTATCAATTATTGCATTTAATTTTAATCTGAAAACTCTTGCAACTATATCTGGCCTATCAGGAGCAGTTTGATTTGATAAAAGCTCAGAAAGAATTTTAGGCCATTTTGGATTGCATATCACTGTTATAAACAGATCAGATTTTCCAAATTCTCTAACAATTGCCATAGAATCTTGGTACAATTGTTGTAAATATCTTGGTGATCTGGTAAAGCTTGATGACAAAATTATTCTTTTGCCAATTTCTTCAAGATTGGCATCTTCATTATAAATCATATCTTATAATCCTTCAAAAATTACAGATCTTAATTTTTTTTGAATTTTATAATACTATCTTAAATTATTTGTTTCCCATTTCACATACTGGTCTACTATATATTGTTAAAATAATCTGCCTGAAAGATGCAGAATGCTATCATTTTTGTTTGAGTTTCTAATCGTAAATCTATATACTGCAAACTCCCTAATAGTTATTGTTGTTCTTTTTTTCTTTTTTTGTTGTTGTTAAATCTTTGATGGTCCCTTATTACTATCATTATCATCAGATTCACTTTCAGATTCAGTATTTGCTTCTTGATCAAATTCATCTTGATATGACATATATATTTTTCTTTTCTTTATTGCAGGATCATCAGAATCATCATTATTATCATTATTATTATTATTATTATTATTATTATTATTATCTTTTTCTTCTTCTTCAATTTCTGCAACTTTTCTTTTTTCTTGTTTTATAGATAATCTTTTCTCTAAATATTCTTTATTACCTATATTAATATTTTTATCAATATCTATACTTGATGAACTTCTAATAGTTGTAGATTCTAAAAAACTTAATAATCCTGTTTTACTTTATAATATTTTTTTTAGTAAATTATCAAAGTTAATATTAGATACTTGTTTTGAGATTCCACTTCCTTCAGCTTCAATTTTAGAAATTTCAGAGTCTTTAGGAATATTTTTAGAAAGTTTTTTTTTGGTTTTCTTTTTCTAAACATTTTTTGTCTGCTGCTGTTATTTTTTCATTAACTCAATATAAATCACTTTCATTATCATTATCATCATCTTTATCAGCAAGTTTAGTTGGTTTACCAATTTGTATTTCATTTCTTCTTAATATTCCTGAATGCCAACCATATTCTTTACTTGGAAATAGCAAAGAATATTGTAAAGGATTATATGCACTATTTAATTCAAAGATTTTTTAAAATTTTTTATCATATCTATAAATACAAATATCTTTTTCTTGCATTTCTGTATCAGTAAAACAAATTGCTGCTACTTCATTAGTTGTTGGTAAATTATATTGTCTCATATCTCTGCCATGCATATTATGTATTAAAATATAAATAAGACTTGCTTGTACATTTCCTGCTTGTATATAAGTATTAACAAAAGGATTGA